CAACACACAAACTGAACAACACTCAATTTTCCGATCGTTACCACTGTCCTTGCGATCTTGTTATAACGATAACAACAAAGTGCACGTTACTGATGCAATATGGTTGAGACCATTCGGGCTTATTCTAGAGGGGTGCAAGGAATAGTCCAAGTAGTGGGGGAGTTTTATACAATATGTTTAAAACATAAAGATAAAAAGGTTTTAAAAAGTTATTGTTTAATGTTTTAAGGAGGTGGCGCTACTCAGCCAATCAAATCGGTGCAGTCAGTGAGTCAGCACGATAGATTCAAACACACACACAGAGACAAGAGGAGAGAAACAGTCTTCATTTTCTCTCACTGGACCTCTTTGAAATGCAATTGAATACCCCTGCATTATAGCAACAACAACAATAATAATAATAATAATAATAGCAATAATAATTGGGAGGGGGGGCGTGGCTGTTCTTATGTTCTCTGAGGGGAGGCTCACCTTCCCACACTTTGAAAACCCCTGGTCTGGTGCTTCAAATGTATCGTTAATGTATCTATCGTTGGCAACGTATCGAGATGCGCATCGCATCGGCCTCAGTGATGGAGATGCACATCCCTAATATGAAAGCATTGAGAGTGTTGCAGGACCCTCAACATTTAAATATTATACTTTTTGATCAGAAAAGGTGATAAGGATCATTTTATCTGCAGTATTATATGTGATGATCAGTGTTTATAATTGTGTACTTCATGGGAAAATGTGTTTAAATTGTAAATTGTTTTACACTACAGTAAATATGTAAGGTCCTGCATAAGGCTGTCTTCCATGCAAACACGTAAAAAGATGGAACTGCAACAAAACCCAACACTTCTACTATTGACCAATGGACAAACTTCAGTCTTCATGTCATTGGAACTTGTAAATCAAAAATGAAAAACATCCCCAGGAGAAAAAACTGTCTTTTTTAACCTTGAATGTCCAATAACACCATATTTTTCCGCAGAACCTTTCCAGAAAGTCTGTGAAAATTGTTCCCAAATAGTTGATTGTATTTGTTCTGGTAACATGACCTTTGGTTATTGGCTGAGTCCTAAACACCTAACCCAGAAATGACTGTTCCTAGGACACCTTTCCATTATCCACTTCCTGGTCATTGAGTTTAACAATATTACCATGATGAGAAAATAATAACAATCCTCTCTGTGTATGTAGGCCTATTACAGAGAGTCAACTACTTAATTTGTAAACTATATGCATTTAAATATCAACAAAAATCTATTTATTTTTCAGTATCCATTTACAAGAATGTTAATGTGTGTTTTATATTATATTATCTCCCAGCGTCCTCCTGCCTGCCCTTCACCTCCTGACAGAGAGTGAAGTGCTCACTGCCATTACTCTGAGCCGCATCGCATTATAATATGTATTGCTCCCGTAGGCATGTCTACTGTATTTAAGTGTATATTTTTTTGTTTTACCTTGACGGTATAACTAAGTTGCAGAATGAGTTGCTAGTGGTTTTTTAGAGTTGTTGTGTGTGTGTGGCTGTGACAGTTACTGTCTTCACCAAAGAGTGTGTGTCATGAACCAAATTTGGCTGCCACAGCATCGTGTTCGTTGAAAATCTTCCAAATCTGGTCACAGGCCGATAGATCGGTGCGTCTGCAGTTCTTAGACCTGTCCTTACAAAACTCATCTTACACATGTGTTTTTTTGGCCTTTACATTAGGTTTGGTAAATTGAACTTGAGACATATAAAGGTGATGCGAGAAACAATCATTTATTTTTTAAATCCCTAAAGAATTTTGAAAAGTTTAGATCTTTTCTTCAAACATATTATTTCATTTAGTAGTTGAAAACGTCCATCTTCCTGTACAATCTGCTCTCTGTGTACAGTATGTGAAGGTAATGAAACGCACCTTCTGGCGGCCATATTGCACCATCAGCTGTTGTGTAACAGCGTCTGAATGAACAGCTGTTAACAACTCACTCTGCTGAACAGAAACGTTTTTTCTCTTTCAACTGAAGCTGATGAAGTGATCACTGTTGAGTTGTAAAACATTAAAAGTGAGTTAAAATGTTTTAGGAAGCTTAAAGAAAAACAAACAGCTTTCTTGTCTGTAGAAGGGGTTACATTTTGAATGTGACTGCAGATTAAGTTAAAGTTCATCCTTCAGTCATGACGATTTTTGCATACATTAACTTACGTAAGTGGTTTCCCTCTTTTGGTAGAAAGTGCTGATTTGAAGTGATCAAGAGAGTGAAGTAGAAGACACAAAAATCAAAATGTCAACGAGGAAATATACTAACTTACTATACTAACTTACTAACTATATGTGTCGGTAAAGACCAGATACACCAAACAGACGTCAAAGAACTAGCGGCAACAAAGTTAGAGGGTTCACCCCTCAAAACTCTCCATGTTGCGTGCATCTTGGCTAAACAGTTACACTTGAACGCACCGCAAAGGCTACAGCCACTGGTTGGCTGTCACTTACTTTCTTAGCCTGTGTGTGTGAAAAATAACCCTCCATACCATCAGACAGAAGTGATCTGTCGTCTGCATTCAAAAAGTGGGCTGGTAGATCTAAGACTATAGATAGTGAACATGTTGAGGAAGATATTTAGCCCAGGACAGGCGATTTGTGAATGTCAGTTTCCCAATGGCACCTTGTATGGCAGCCTCTGCCTCTGTATGAATATATGTGAATGAGTGAATGTAGACTTGATCCAACCCAAATTGATCCACAACAAAACTATAACGAAGACCAAAGTGGAGAGCAACATTGTCGGAATCCTTTTCACACTGATTTGATAAAACTTTTCAACTCCATCATCTTAACAACAATAACATTTTAGATAAAATCCAGTCTGGCCATCGAAAACACCACAGCACTGAAATAGCTTTATTAAAGGTAGTTATAACCTATTCAAACAATGTAGCTGTCCTCTTTTTGTTAGATTTGAGTGCAGCATTTGACACAATCGATCACAGTATTTTAATGAACCATCTTGAGAAATTGGTTGGTGTCTCGGGACAGTCCTTGGATGGTCTCACTCTTACCTGTCTGAAATAAACCTTTGTGTAAGTTTGGGAGACCCTTGTGTCACCAACCTCTGATATTGAATATGGAGTTCCTCAAGGAAGCATTATGGGCCCTATTCTCTTCTCATTATACATGCTCCCTCTGGGCAACATGATAAACCATGATAATGTTGAATATCACTGTTACACCGATGATACACAATTGTACATTTCCATTTCCCCTTAAAACCCCGGTTCTGCAAAAAACCTGTTTACCTGTCTGAATGATGTAAACAATTTAATGAATGACAACTTTTTTTAAAGAAATTAGCAAAAAACTGAAATTCTATTAGTAGGTCCTAATCAGAATGACAGAGAGTAGAGTCTGTGTTTTCCAGCATGTCCAAATATATCAAAACACAGGTTACAAATCTAGGGTTAATTTTAGTCTGTGATCTTAATGTTTTAAGCCATTTTAACATGGTTGCAAAACTTCGTTTTTCAACTTAAGGACAATTTTTAACTCCAAATGCTGCTGAAATGGTTTGACATGCTTTTATTACTAGTCGCTTGGACTACTGCAGTTCTCTTTTTACTGCTCTCCCTAAAAATGTTAAAGAAATTGCAATTAATTCAGCCAGGATTTGAACAAACACAATGATTTAAAAGTGCTTAAAATGATTTACAAGGCTTTACATTACCTGGCCCCTACATATCAGTGGCTGCCTTTCATTTCTTGACCCTCAGATTCTCCAATGTCTTTCTTTTAGAAGTACCTAGAGTATTTTACATTGGATCCGAATAGAAAACTCCGTTGGAGTTTTTAAAAGTAAATTGAATACCTATCTTATTTATTTGACTTTTAACTTGGGGTCATTTTAGTGGTGTCACTATTTATGTTTGAATGTTTTAGTGTTCTGTATGGTTTGTTTAAAGCTTGTTTTTAATTATAATCCTCACTTTAATTATGTTACTCACTCTTTATTTTGTATCTTGTGTTTGTAAAGCACTTTGGGCTGCAACTTGCGTGAAAGGTACTATATAAATAAAGTTTATTATTATTTATATTATTATTGACAGCCAATCAAAATGCATCCCAAGTGTATATGTCGATAAATAGTAAAAGGCCATTTTCGATCAGCAGTAAAGTGAAACTTCAGAATCAGCAGCATCCCCTGGTGCTATGTTTAGTTTCTGGGTTACTTTCAAAGCTTTTCTACTTCCTATTATTCCTACCCTTACCATCATTTCTTCCTCTCCGCAGAGTTCAGAAGTAGCAGGTCATCAATCTCCATTTTGGAGCCCCGACACAGCTGGAGCGTGCTGCGTGTGCTCAGCCCTGCTGTTTACACAAGGTTTCTCTTCAGCTGCGTGTATGCTAACATCGTTATATTTATATTTATTGTTATAGTTATTGTTGTTGGTTTTGACGGCCCTTAAAGCGCCGTGAAGCCGAGGGGAGCTGCAGCCGTGCGGCGGTGAAACACCACGAACAAAGTGGCGATTAAAGACGCGTTAAGTACCCAGTAGGTCTCCGAAACCTGACTGTTAAAGAAGAATTGCAATTCAATTAAAATAGAAACACTTCAAAATATAATATACTGATATATGTAGGGGAAATTAGGAACATGGTTTTCTCTGCAGTTGATGTAGCTAAGGCTCACTTTTTGAAATAACAAAAGGAATCCATCTGTGTGTGTGTTACCAGCCTGTTTCTGTAATCACACTGCCTTGTTTAATCACTCCCACACAAAACACAACTTTAAAACACTTTCCCTCGTACATGGATTAGAGCATCGATGATTATGTTATTTCACATCATGTCCCAGTTCCCAGCAGCACCAGGCCACCAGATCTCCGGCTCCTGGCACAACAATTGCTTTTTAATCCCCTCACTTTAGTTTTCTTTGTACATTTCCTCATTTCTTTATGGTGGGAAAGGTCTGAGTTTTCGTTAAACTGACATTTCCCCCTCCCTTCTGCTTTCTTGTGTCCACTTCAGGTGCGAGTAGGATTTGCCGCCATCGCCGCCGCTGCTGCTGGAATCATAAGAAAACGAGGTGGACTGAGAATGAAGCAAAGAAAATAAGTTGTTTTTTAAAATCATAAGATCTTTTCCTTTTTCTTTTTACAATTTGTATCTCTTGATTGTCGCATCTCAGATCACGCACAACATCCTCCTCAGAGTTACCCTTCACAGACCTGATGTTCATGCTACAAAAGCCTGAGTAAGAAGGGGGCTTTGCTTTGGCACCTTTTATCTTAGCGAGGTGTACACATGCTCCCAAATTGAAATCATAAGAGTGCAAGGAGACATTCCGGGTTACGATCTGTGAAGATAATTGAAACAGCCAACCTCTCCTACGAAATTCAAATTCCTTTCTATTCATTTCTCACAGGATTTTGAGTTTTTCAGTAATATTACAGGAGCTAATCTTCTTCTAGTATATGCAGAAACAAGGTTTACAAACCCTAAATCCTCTTTAAGATCTGGATTAGTTGTGTCTTTACTAATCAATAAGGCTTATTTGTACAAGTCCCATCAGCCAATCACAGTAGCAGTTTATGAAGAAGGCTGCAAACTGAAGGTAAAATGAAACAAGTCAAATAGTTTGTACTGCCCCTTTAATTGTAATTGTCCCTTTGAGTTTATGATCCTGAATATTTCCACTTGGTGCCAGTTTCATGACAAAACGAGTACTAATGCTGACTCATCCTTACAATGAATTATCATTACACTCATGACATAATCAGACTTTCTATGAAAAGTGAAGAAGATCCAAGTTGCAACAGAATCAGAGATTTGGGTTGTTTTTTATTCCACCAAATGTTCATCCTTGTAAAACATGAAAAAAAAAAAAAGAAGATAATCAGTGGAGACAATCAGGAAATGATGCATGGTAATTATGTTTTCATTCACTTTCGAGAAAACAACTCTTTGCAGAGCGTTCAGGACTATCACATGATCTTCATCTGCAGATTTCTCTTCAAAAGTACAATAACAACATTTCAAGAGGAGCCTTTAATGTCTGAAAACTTTAGGACAGGTTTAAAAAGAGAATGTGGTCTTTGCTGACCTGAGTGATGCTGGTGACCAGTTACCTTTTTAAACCTTCTCTTTAGAAAAAAAGCCTTCGTTAGAAAAAAATCAAACACGTTCCCTTAAAAAAGAAGATTAGTTATTGATTAAGAAGATTGTCTGCTTAACATCCCATCCTTCCCTTTAAAAATCCAACATTCCCTTTAAGTGTGGAGTTTAAATAACATTCAAAGACATGTATATGTTAAAAGTCTAGTTTGGCTTTATTAACATCTCAATGATGGGAGTTTCTGAACATTGTGAACATTGCCTTTAAGAGGAAACCAGTTTAATGATCAGCACTTTCATGTAAGTTCCTGAAAGAAACCCAGAACTTCTCCTTTAAGTCGCTCTGAGGGAGGAGTGGGGGCATTAGCAGGTTGTAAACTCTTGGACCGGACAGATGTTTGGGCCGAGGTGATGTTGTACGTGACCTGTGTTGCCGTGGAGACGCGAGGAGGAGGGTGAACCGGAGCACTGAATGTGTGCCTGCAGCAGCCGTCTGTACACCGACTGACAGACAGGGCGGATTAAAAAAACAGACAAACAAAAACGCCGAGTGCCAAAGCTGGGATCTGCTGCATTCTCACTACACTTTTGAAAAAAAGGGTTCTTCTTCTTGTATATAGGATATATATGTTTGTTTGTTTTCGTTTTGTTCCTGTATTGCTACAGATTTGTAAAGTTTTGCGGGAAGATTTTGTTACATTTTGTAAAATGGGAGCAAATGGTCCCCCCGAAACCCTCCTCTTTTTTTGTTGCTTTTTTAAAGCCCTCTCTCTCAGATTCTCTACTTTTATTTGTTGATGGAAAAAACGGTGCCATTAGTGGTGTGTGTGTGTGCAACGTTTCTTTCTTTCTTTCTCCGTATCTCTCTTTTTGTACTGAACCACCGTGGAACCACTACAGAAAAAAAGAAAAAAAGACGGACCAGTTGGCAATACTTCAGTCACTTCTCCTTCATCTCACCGGCACTGGACTTCTGCCTGCCACTTCCCCGCTGAGAGGAGGTGGGAGGAGGAGGAGGAGGAGGAGGGAGGAGGAGGAAGAGGGGGGACTTCGCTTCACATCAAATCAGATTTAAAAAACAAAACACACAAAAAAGCACCTTTGGACCTTTTCTCTTCTTCTTTTTTTTACTGTGCATAAGTGAAGTCAAGTGCTATTATTATATTATTATTATATTATTATTAATATTGTAGCCACTCTGTCTGGAACCCTTTTTTGCTGAAAAAAAAGAAACTACACAAGAAAGGAAAAAAAATAAACGTAAGCCAATCTGCACTTCTTGTTCCGAGGAACATGCTTGGATGACCAAGTGACTGTCGTGGGTCTTTGTTTAAACCGATAAGGAACAAAACAACTTGAAAACAAAACAAAAAAAACTATCAAGAAACTTTCAAAATGGAGGCAAAGCGCAGAAGGATCACGATCACACAACACACAATCTAGACAGTGAAAAAAACACAATCCAGAATCATGCTGCCTGAATCATACTTTAATCTCTTTTCCTCCGTTTGTCCTTCACTTCGTCTTCTACCTGTCATTCTTTCTTTTTCTATCTCTTTCGTTTCCTTCATCGTTGATTGTTCTCAATTTCTATCTCTCTTTGTCATCCTGCACACCATCTACACACCTGTAATAAACAAAAAAAAAAAAAAAAAAAGAGAAATAGCCTTTTATTCAATACATAACTACATGTTGGCTTGGTAGGCTTAGTTCAAACTAGTTCCATTCCGACAGAAAAGAATAATAGTCAAAACAAAATATGAGCTTCTTTATGTATTGCTTCTGCCGCTGTAGTGTCCTGGTCAGATTTAAGATGATAAGACTACATATATCTGATATACTGTATTTACAAATGCAAACCAGGGCTGGCCTCAACAAAAGCTCAATATAATAGGGGGGGGGGGGGGGGGGGGATCTCAACTCCGTCCACTTGGGGGGGATTTCTGTACTGCTGCTTTGAATTAAAATGCTTGTTTCTTCGCTTAAAGTCTTCATAGTTGTTTTAACTGTTAGCACTGAAGCGCTCAGCTGCACGTCCTTCTGTAAAAACCCTAAAAAGAAAGCAGCGCTGCAAAGAGAGGCTCTTGGTGGACGCACAGCATTAGAAAGATTCCAAGAGACTTTTATTTTTGCAAGTGTATAGTTTTAATGCATATTTTTCTGATGATTGATTGAATGTATTTGCTTTGAGGAGTTCACTAAACACTGTGGGTTTACTGTTTGAAAAGGAAAGAGCCGAGCACACTAGTAACTTATAGAAAACTGTTTTGGTCTTCCTGAAACTTTAATGACAGAAGTCAAAAAGCATTAAATGTTTGAACTAACTGTCCTTTTAGCAACCAAGCTAACTCTCTTTAGAAGTGTACATTTTCCTGGTTAGTTAGCATGTTAGAACCAAACTTACTCTCTTGAATGTGTACATGTTCCTGGTTAGCTAGCGTGTTAAAACCAAGCTAACCCGCTTGAACACTACGTACGTTCCTGTTAGCTTGCATGTTAGCAGCCAAGCTAACTCTCTTGAGAACTGTGTACATTCCTGGTTAGCTAGCGTTTTAACAACCAAGATAACTATTTTTGGCAGTTAGCGAAGCTCCATGCTACAGATGTTTTTTAGGATCAGGCAGACAAACTTAAGCCTGTTTCCTGACGACGGCTTGAGGCATCAAATGTCTAGTCATAGTTCTGGATGAACCTTTTCAGGAATAAAATTCCCAGAATGATTCTGTTTTAACTCTCCTGGCTTAGGTGTTGCTGCTTTAAGTTCCATTTTGGAGACAAAACAGTCTGACTAGTGTGCTCTAATCCTTCTTCTTTTTATTTAAAAATTGCTCATGTTGAAGTTCATGTGTTTGATCCGCCTGGTTTCCGAAAAAAAGACTTTAGAAACCTGATATTTGTCCATAACTTGATAATAAAAGTGAGACCCAACCTTTTCGGTATAGCCTAAACCCTTATTTGATTTAATGTGGATTGGAACCTTTTTTTACATCCTAAAACTCCACTTTGATTGATCTAAAGGCTTTCTTGCTGTTTATTCTCTTTTTAACTCAAACAATGTTATAGCTAAAATCAAGTTAATGAAGACTTCCGAAGATTTGAATTCCTGAACAACGTCCTTGAGTTTTTCTCAACTGTAACGTGTGGTAGTCCTGATCCATCCTTAATTGTCAATTCAGGAGACTTAATCCGGCCTCGCTTTGTAGCTGTCAATGAAGAAGCCTGAAGATGTTTAAAGCTTGAGTTAATCAAACATTACGGTAACTCTCAGTATTGTAGATAACTGTGATTTAACCAAAAAGTGTTTGGGCTAAAACCCAACATTTTTGAAAATGCAAATCCACATGCTGTAGCAGTGTCAATCATGGAAAGGCATTCTAAACAATAATAAGTATTTTAGTATCTTGTGGAGGATCATGAGGATAGTTTTTGATTTCTTTCTTTTTGGGAAACCAGCTGCACTAAATGTCTTTTTAAGGGGAGTTAAGGCCAGCCCTGCATCATAACTGAGGTTCTGCTTCTTCTACTACCGCTACTATCAAACAACCAGCCTTGGGCACAAAAACAGACCTGAACACTGTTTCAAATCCTCCCTTCAGAACTCAAGGTGCATTTGATTTCTATCTTCATATACCAGCATTTTCAAAAGTCAGAACCTAAGGTAGAGCACCAGCTTGATTCGTTTATGTAACAAAAAAACGTCTGTAAATCAACTTGTGGCCCAAAATTAGACTTCTTTTCCTCAGTTTGGGCGACAAGTCTTGAGCTTCTTTGTTGTTTTGTAACTTGTAATAACAAAAATAGCCATCATTATTTGTTTTTATGTGAATTTGAAAAGTATTCAAGCTCTGTTTCTGTTGCCCAGGTCAGCAAAACAACCTGTTGATGTCTGCTGTATTTCAATAAAACACAGCCTTTTTCAAAGGGTACACCTCTTTACCTTGTTCTTTCTGTATGTGTGTGTCTAATTTACCCATTACATTATTTGTGTATTACAATTTACCACAAATGTACCAGCATTAAACAAACATTACACCATTTAACACCAATAATTGATATTGTTTTATGTTTTTTGACAAACTTCCTCTTATGATAACCTCAGACTGCATTAACACTTCCGATCTCTGATCAGATGAGTTTGGAGTCTGTCTTCAGAGAATTTTCTCTCAGCGTTATTGGAACACATGTTTGGAACAAACTCCTATCTAACTTTCCAAATGTAATTGCCACTTTATGCCTAACTGGTATCTGAGCCATTCCATCAACTAGTCAACATAATCAACAATTCTGACAATCAGAAAATTGTTTCAATATCTCTGGTGGGCGCTGAGCAGCTGCAGCAGAGCAGGTGCATAACAAGAAGTGTATTCATTTAGTAAAGTTAGATAAGGACTAAACCTAGCAGGAAAGCTAATGCTGTTTGCAGTCTGTGGCTGTTCCCTGAAGTTTCCCTTGATTTTGTTTGTTTTTAAGGTATAACAAAACAAAAAACTGATCAAAATCTGCAAAAACTTCACATAGGGATGAGGGTGTGATGGATGGGTCAAACATACAGGATTTTAGACAGGACAGTGTTTTTTGTTTCCTGTAACCAAGTAGTTCTGTTGTTAAAACACGTAAACAACTGAGAACTTTATCAGAAAGAAAACAAGTTCTCCTCTAAATTTAATTGTGAATGCATAGTTGTATGAGCAAACTTGGGGAGTATTGGATTACATGTAACGGGATTACGTAATCAGGACACAAAAACAGAAGCTAACTGTCTTGGTTTACAGAAAATATGAGTTAAATAAAACACTGACTTATTTTCATGTGGTGTCACACACATGCAGGGTCTCAAGGCTTGTTACAAACCATATGTTTCTTTTGAATTAACGTTTTCTGGCTCATAGCGATTGTGAAAAGTTTCCCCAGCCTAAATATTCTCTGTATGAATTTAAATGTAAATTATTGATCATATGCAGGATCATTTATACATGTGCATATATACTGAATTTATTTGAATGTACTTCACTTTATGCACAATTATATGGACTGTATCAAAACATAGATTATGTGATTGTAGTTATTACATGTACAGCACTTTGGCCCGACCAAAAATCGCTTTTAAATGTGCTCTATAAATAAACCTTGATTTGATTTGATTTGATTTGATAGATGAGATGGAGAGATAAAGGTATTCTGTTAAATGAATGCAAAACTAGGGCGCTTTATTGTGAAACTAAAAGGTTATGCACTTCTCCCTTTTGGTTTCAGATGTTCTCTCTAAGAGCTCAGAACAAGTGATTTACAGAGCAGATATGTGGCTGCAGTAGACAAAAGCTTTCATTTCAGTTGGATTTCAGCAGACAGGCACAAGAACTATATTGATCTTCTCAGCTAATTCATCAACAAAATTAAGAAACATGGTTCAGTCCATGCCTGGTGTGATAGTTTTTTTGAGGGATTTCACAACAAGAAGAACAAGAAGTTCTGCCAGACTATTGTCAGAAGAACAACGCAACAAACTGAGATGGGAACACATGGGGGAAAGAGGAGTCCAAATGTGTAACTGCTATGAACCAATCACAGATTTAACTCGGGGCAACTTGTGTAAACCAAACCGAAAAGCAAACGGATTTGGAGATGTAAGATTTCTCCTGATAAACACCACTTCAGTCACAGAAACGTGAGGCCTTGAAACTGTTGACGCCTGATGCAACAGTGGAAGATGAGGGAGGCGTTTCCAGCCTGTTAAGCACTTCCAGCCCGCTCATTCCAGGCACGCCGTAATATCTGGTCGGTACTCTCAAAGGATATCACGGCGCTGGTGTTAATTTAAGATAAGCTCTGCCTTTGGAATCACAATGAGAATGAAGGGGGCTGTAAGATTTTTATTTATTTAAATGAATCAGAATAAAGGTGAGGAATCACATTTCGGGCTGATAGTAGCGCAGGGTGGATAGAAGGCTGTCGTTCCCTCAGAGCGCTCGGTGTGTGTGTGTGTGTGTGTGTGTGTGTGTGTGTGTGTGTGTGTGTGTGTGTGTGTGTGTGTGTGTGTGTGTGTGTGTGTGTTGTGCGCGCGCGCGCGTGTGTGTGTGTGTGTGTGTGTGTGTGTGTGTGTGTGTGTGTATATTCATGTTGAGAGTTTGGGCTTTCCGCTCGTGTCTGTTTCGAATATTTTTGTGTGTATGTTTAAGCCTCGTGGGAAATCAGGTAAATACGGGTTCTCTACTTGAAACACAGATTCTTTCTGCTTCCCAGCGGTAAATACAGCTTGAAATTCAAGCCTTGATAAAAGCTGTATTGCCTCATGTAAAGAGAGTTGTTTTTATTACATATCATATCTTTTATACATGAGAAAATAAGCTCTTTTTTTGTTTTGCACTCAGCTTAACAAGTATGCTTACTATTGTTTGTTTGCATTTGCTTTTGACATATTGATGATGAAGGTCATTTAAAAGAGTAATTGAAAACGACACAAAATGATGTAGATATGTTCTATTTCGAGCACAGAAATGTTTTTTTGGAAGTGTCCATCATTTCCAAATAATTTCCCCATATTTTTCCAATATGTTTTCTGGAAATAACTTTGATATTTGGTGCTAACTAAAGACAGTGATCAATTCATACTCTCCAGCAAACCATGCAGGAGAAATATCTACCGGTTAGC